CTGTGTTAATCATGTTACATAGTTATATATTTAATTCATTCTAACATGTATCATTACTTTCATTGATAATCAAAATAAAATGTCATAAGTTAAACCACATGCACATTAGCTAAATGGCAAAACATCTGGAGCTCTACATCCTACACTTTCACTAAAACTAAACATGGGCAATTAGTACTCATGAGGAATGGTACAAGAAAGTCTGCTCAAAAGTACTGACAGGGCAATTGAAATGTGGTTATGATGATGTGCATTCTCAATGATTTCTTTAGGATGAGAAAACTTATGCTTGTGTATAAAGCACAAATCTATGAACATATCTGTTTATAGATGCTGACATACACTGACATGCAGTGTATCTACATAGCATTAAAACTGCTTAGGAAGGGATGATGGTGCAGGGGAGGGGAGCTACAAGGCTTTAAATAGAGTTTAAAAAATAGGTTAAGAGCCGGGCGTGGTGGCGCACGCCTTTAATCCCAGCACTCAGGAGGCAGAGGCAGGTGGATCTCTGTGAGTTCAAGGCCAGCCTGGTCTACACAGTGAGTTCCAGGACAGCTGGGGCTTCAGGGAGACCATCTCAAAAAAAGACCAAAAAAGAAAAAAAAAAAGGTTAAGAAATATTTCCCTTTAATTAACACAGAATGCCACAACTGGCCAAAGTGTAGAAATAACAGACTACAGAAAATGTGTCCTAGGATAGGATTCCTATATTAAACCTCCACCTCCCAGGGCTCAGGGACCATTGCAGAAGAGGGGGCAGAAAAATTGTAAGAGCCAGGAAAAAAAGACCAAAAAAGAAAAAAAAAAAGGTTAAGAAATATTTCCCTTTAATTAACACAGAATGCCACAACTGGCCAAAGTGTAGAAATAACAGACTACAGAAAATGTGTCCTAGGATAGGATTCCTATATTAAACCTCCACCTCCCAGGGCTCAGGGACCATTGCAGAAGAGGGGGCAGAAAAATTGTAAGAGCCAGGGATGATGGATGACCAATGACCATCAGTTTTCCAGGCAGCTAGGAACTTGCTAATATGAACTTACAGCAATCGTGACAGCAGGCACAAGACCCAAGCAAACTCAAACCAGACAAAAATCCAGCATAGAGCTGGACGTGGTGCCACATGCCTTTAATCCCAGCTCTTGGGAGGCAGAGCTGGGAGACACAGGCAGCTCTCTGTGAGTTCAAGAACAGTCTGGTCTACATAGTGAGTTCCAGGCCAGTTGAAGCTACAGGGAGACCCTGTCTCAAAAAGACTATAAAAAGGGGGCTGGAGAGATGGCTCAGCGGTTAAGAGCACTAGCTGCTTTTGCAGAGGACCCGGGTTCAATTCCCAGCAGCCACATGGCTGTCCTAACTCCAGTTCCAGGGGATCCAACACCCTCTTCTGACCTCTGTGGGCATTGGATTAAGAATTGAAGCATGGGGGCTGGAGAGATGGCTCAGTGGTTAAGAACTCTGACAGAGGACTCAGGTTGGGTTCCCAGCACCCACATAGCAGCTAACAACCATCCCTAACTCCAGTTCCAGGGGATCCAATGCCCTCTTCTTATCTTTGCGGGCATGACACAACCTGGGTGTGCTTACATAATGCATGCAGGCAATATACTCATATACATAAAGTAAAATAAATAAACACATCAATCAAGCTGGACAAGAATAAAAACAGAACCAAATTTTCACTCAATAAAGCAGGCTGGCATTTCGTATCATACACACAACCAACAAAAGAAGTCCATCTGCCTGGGTCACATATAAAGAACACAAATAATATGAAAAACCAAGATAATATGCTCCCATCAAAACCCACCAGTCCT